TGTTGCAGACTGACTAGTTTTACAGTCAGTTTCGAAACGAAAACGCATTTCGTAGTTTCGTTTGACATTTCATGAGTTAGGCCACCTACTGTAGCATGCAATCCTCTCATTATTTTTGGTGTCTTTAAAAATACAATTACTGTTCATGAAAAAACCGTAAAAACATTCATTTTTTTGCCCCCTCGGTAGAAAATTACGTCATTTTCCAATATTATGCTCAAAACAAAGGCATAACTCCGGCGTTAAAAAGGTTTCTTATTGTCCGCTTTTTAATACCGTGAAATGGCCGTTCTAAATACGTCATGATTTCCATTTACAAATGCAGCTTATAAAAATAACATATGGCTCAAATCCACTGCCAAATATTATGAATCATATATTTTCTCGTCTTCATAGCGTGGGGAATTGCAGGGTTTTCCGTACGCCGCACATATACGGCTTATAGCTTGGAAACCCTGAATATAACTTTAACGGCAGGTCGGGTCCACAATTTTTCGAGATTTGGAAGGTTATTTTAAAAGCAAATTACACCCTACTTTGAAGTATAAAAGGGGAAAAAGACGTTTTTTGTTACCAAATGAGCAAAAGAATGAATATTTTAATGCATGTTTTCCATAAAATATAATTCGACCTTTAGTGACATCGAAAATCAGCGGGAAATATTATGCTAATTAAGTAGTCATTTTACGGAATGCAGTTTCTACATGCGTCGGAAAGAAGTTCGTTCAAAAGCCGTTATCCCGAGGTAACTGAATTATTATAGAACTGTGCTGCATGGGGATTAGTTTTACAGCCCTACGTAATTAATCTTTTCGAAACGAAAATGCATTTCGGAATTTCGGTTGAGATTTTGTGAGTTAGCTAACTTACTGTAAACAATGGGCCTAGGCAACAAAATCGATCTCAAAGCTGCCAGACGTCCGGTAATTTTTGCGCGAGAACTTGCTAATCCTTGTATATAACAATCGCTTCTGTTGTTATTATAATATGGCTTAGGGTAATTTAAAGGAAAACATTATCAGCCAGTTTAGAGGAGGACTAAGTTAGACATACCTTCTTTCCCTCTTAGTTGTCGTTGAATAAATTAAAGAAGATGCTTGCATCGGACAGTGTGCAACAGTTATTCCCCAAGTTCTCGAGAGAAATGTTACTAGACCCCAGGTGCGCATACGTTTTATGTCCACTACTTCGTATCCGCCTACTAAAGCCGAGGTAGCAGGACAGGATCTCAGACGCAGAGGATTTAGAACAAACAAAAATCCTCAGCATTCAAACCATGCTGAGGCAAATGTACTTTCAACGGAGTGGCCTACACGTGCAGATGGATAACGGACGCCTTCTCAGATGACTCTTCTATGGAGATGTTGCCGCGGGCTTTTGTCAACAAGGAAGTGTACCTTCATGTCTTTTGGTCCTGCCAAGATTCTAGCACCAATACATATTTTATACAAGCCTTCTCTCAGAATGCTTTACCGTAAACGACCACGGTTTATGTTGCACTAATAAGCTTACCTAATCACCTCCTGTAGATGGAATCTCTGCCAAAGCTCCGCAAATATGTGGGTTTATATGATATATATTTCCTTCCGGAACTAAAGCTAAGACTTCATCAAATGTTTTTTTCCCAGTCCTTGAGTACTGCTGTCATTTCTGTGGTTTAATGAACGCCTGCGATCGTAATAGAATGGAACATATTTAGAGAGATTCAACTCGGAATCCCTTCTTTCAATCTGCATCCAGTATTTCTTATTATGAGCGATATATTTTGGCAGACATTAAGTTTTTATGGATTAGAAAACTCGAAACTGGTCTTTGCATCCTGTTTCGCCCCAGCTCTAGCTCCAATCTTCCACGTATTAAAAATCTCGATTCGAGAGATCGGTCTTATGTCACACGCAGCTCCTTCATGCTAATTCCGTCCCCCTGTTTTGCATCCAAATATGCCTTTCTTTGGAATAGTATTCCACCGCATCCTAGGTCATTACCTAACTTATCGACATTCAAATCGAAGTTAAGCAAGCACATTACACCGGAAGGCGCAAAGGCGCTTTTGACGGTTTCGGTCCCGAACACTCAGCTACTTGACTTTAAGAAGCGTCGTCCTGGGATTTAATGGTAGGGAACTAGTGTTTTGCTTCTTCAGGTGGAGACTTCCACTTATATATTCACAACCTCCTGTCTTTAACTGGCCACTAAATTCACTGTTATTACTCCCCCCTCTCCTGCATAAAAATTTGTAAACGCTCAGGGAAGTGTATCTTGCGTTACAGCTACTAATCAAATCCAAGCAATTTTCACCATAATTTTGAAATCTTTTTTAAACGAAAGAGATTCTTAGATGAGGTTTTTAATTTGATTTTCATGCAGTATAGTCCTAAAATATTTCAGTCGTGCCAGTATGCGGGAGTGTGACTAAATATTGATTCGCCTGTCCCACAGTCTCGCTTAAAAAAGGTATTATTTCTCTAGCAAAATTATTTTCTATTAATATCTCCTGGTTTATTGTTCAGATATAATGCGCAAAATTAATCTTTCCTGTACTCTTCAGACAGCACCTCTCGATCAGTAGCTTAGTAGAGTACAGTAGATGGGCAAGCTCACGAAATGTCAGCGGAAATTCCGAAATGCCTTTTGGATCAGAAAAGATTAATTAAATAGGATTGTAAAAGTAATCATTGTGCAGAATGATTCTGTAATAATTCGGATACTTCCGGATGCCAGCTTCTAGACTAACTTTTTTCGGTTGCATACAAAAACCACACTCTGGAAAAAATGACTACATGTTTGGCATGCAATTTTCTCATTGATGACATGATGCAGACAGAAATTCACATAACCCCTTCAGTAAATTCAGTAACTTCTTTAATTGGAATCGTCCCAGACTGCAGGCAGATGGACATCTGCACGTTAGAACACACTGCCTTCTAAGTTACAGTTAACTGCAAAATTCCACATTTGTAGAATTGATGTAAATTTTCATGTTTGTGCTGATTTAAGTGTGTCGCAACTTCGCAACCTCTAAATTTTGGTTTCCATGCTAACAACCGATCTGAAAATGTGCATAAAGAGGACCCGCCGTATAATTTGTATGCGGTCACATGGTAAACTATTATGGAATGAAAGAGTTAATCAGTACAGTTTGGTCAGGGTTTTCCATACAATCTGACAGGCAGAACTCGGAGGGCTTGGTTCCTCCAAATGAAGCCCTCATATAATATTTTCATGGAGTTAGGTGAAAACCAACTTGAGGCCATCCAAGTCTTCAAAAGTTGCTTTGACACAAATAAGACGACTTTGTAACATAATTGGAAAAAAATTTGAGTGAATGAGACGTTCGAAGTACTTCATAGTGGATGTTCTGAAGTAACATTGTCTGACCGATGAAGTTTGCCCTACTGATCGCGCGACGCGGTTTCTTGTGACATATCCACAAATCTGCTCAATTTGTCCAAATCATGAAATCCAGTTCACAGTCCACTTTTCCACAAGAATGCGCAACCGCTGGCAACTGGGTGCTTCAGTGTACTCCACAATGCTTGCCTCGCTGTCTTGCTGTATCCGTATTTTAGATGAATAAGACCTTATTGATTTTGTAAAAGGCAGTATTGTGGGGATTCAAGTGACCGCGACTTGACTATTTATGGTCGATGCCAATAATTGAATGTAGAGTGTAATGAGTGACTGGCAGTATTTCCAAAAACCGCGTTGGGCTCATTTCAACAAGGCAGCACGTCAGTTAGTCAATTTATATATGATAGAGGCTTTTAATTAGTGCAAATACGGGCTCTGTTTTATTGGCAACCATGTATGTGACAATGTAACACTGCGTCCGAAACAACGGAATGTTCTATGGCTTAGAAACGCGTCCGCCAACGCTCCCCACACTGTGTTCTGGTTTACGATCTACGGCTAACTATTAAACAAATCGTGTTTGAAATTATGTACGGCAATCATGACATGATTTCATGACCAGTCCGAAATTTTAAGGAAAAATAAATGAAAGGCAGTCACATTCATCGGAGTTACCACCCAATGCCTATTCTGCGTGCAGTCAGTAGAAATATTTAGAGGATTTAGATGTAACATGAGATCGACAGTAACTCAACCAAATAGCGTTCAAGAGAAATAATCTCCAATTTCGTGATGTATATTATGCAAACTTGACAGTCAAAACAGGGTGTTTAAAAGCCATTTCCAAAGTCTTGATGATGGACGAATTGATGACTACTAAGTTATTCGAAAATCTTTGCATTATCCTTTTACGTGATAACTAACATTGTGAGCAGGAAAATTTCTAAACTACAAGTGTTCACCGTACTCCAGAAATAGTTTAATGCTTAGAGGCCATACACGCATTTGGCAGTTGTTTTCGTTGTTACTTAACGAAGACACAGTATTTCCGACCACATTTAGTGCCCCCAAGGGCTGACGGTACCGGCGTTTTAGATATGGGCTCCATATATACGTATAAAATTAACGGCCTCTTGAATTACTGACCGTAGCATATGTCTCTTTGTGGTCATGATAAGGCTGTTTACTCAAATTCGGCACTACAAACGAACATTTACGTTGAATGAGGTCATATTCGGTAAAGTAAGTGCATAATGCATTTACAATATACGTATCTTTCTACGATTAGCGTCAGCGGTGAACTAATGTCCTAACATCAACTCATACCGACTTTTGCGGCCATTTGCCCTGACTTAAGCGTCACATGTAAATTACAGTAGATATGCTAACTCATGAAATGTTAACCGAAATTCTTAGATGCGTTTTCCATTCTACTGGTAATGTCAATTATCAAGCAGTATAAACTGGAGATAATTCAGTTAAAAGAAGACGAAGGGGCGATCACTGGGACAGTATATTTATTTGTCTGAGCTTTCGAACTCGAACTGGAGTTCATCATCAGAGATTGCTTGAGTGCAGCAACTTGTGAAAATTTATATCGTTCTTCCTTGCGGGGGAGGGGGGGGGGGAGGAGGGGAGTACGCCCGTGGCTAGGTAAGGTTTGTGCCGCCTGGTCCACGATGGTCCCCCGGCGTGGTGAGGCCGTTTGTACTTTGCGACGGCGTGAGCTGCGCCACCTGGCTGCGTGGGCGGAGTGCGTGATAACACGCAGGCAAATCGATGTGCCTGTTGATGGAGTTGGTGTCCGACACCCACGCCTCCAACAGTTCTCGCCCTGTCTTGTTGCCGGCTCGCGCCAATATCCGCGTGTTGGCGAAGTCGAACTCGTGGCCTTCTTCCAGCGTGTGAGTGGCGACTTGAGATAGTGGGTCGCCTCTTCGAACGGCCCGTTTGTGCTCAAGTAATCGTGAGCTGAGACGTCGTCCTGTCTGGCCTGTGTAGTGGCAAGGACAGTTTTGGCACGGAATTTGATAGACCACGCCCGATTGTTCACCTGCGTCCAGCCGATCCTTTATTTTCATGATTCTGCTACGCATTGTGGCCGCCGGATGATGACCGATGCCCACGCCTAGCTTTGACGCAATGCGTTCTGTAGCCTCGGACACATTCTTTATGTACGGTAGGGAGTGCCAAATTGTTGGTGTCTCTCTTCCGTTTGTCCGTCGTGGGTGCGTGCGTATGCAGCGACTGATAAAACTATTTGGGTAGCCGTTCTTTGCCAATTGGTCCCGGAGGTGCCGTAGTTCTTGCATCCTTTCTTCGGGCTCGCTACAATGCGTTTTTACCCGGTCGAAAAGCGCCCTCACACAGCCTCGTTTGTGCACCAATGGGTGGTTGCTATGGTAGTTGAGGACCTGGGTTGTATTGGTCGCCTTTCTGTACACTGTAGTGCTGAGTTCACCGTCAGGTGTGCGCGTGACGAGCACGTCCAGGAAGGGTAGTTTATCGTCCTCCTCGTCTTCTCTTGTAAACTGAATGTCGGGGAATATGCTGTTAAGCAAGTCTTGAAAACCCGATAGCTGGTCCTTTTCAATAATGACGAATGTATCGTCCACGTATCGGCGCCAAAACGCAGGTTTGTAGTGGTTGAAAGCAACCTTTTCCAGCTCTTGTAGGACCAATTCCGCAACTAGGCTGGATATTGGGGAACCCATGGGTGTTCCTTTGATTTGTTCGTATGTTCTGCCATCGAAGGTAAAAAAGGTTCGTTGGCAGAACGCAAAGAGCTGCATTAGGTGCTGGATCTTTAGCGGCCCTGTCGTTTCGTCGTACTTTTCTTCGAGGCGTTTGAGTAGCACTTCGCGCGCCAAGTCTGGTGGGATGGACGTGAAAAGTGAGACAACGTCGAAGGATACCATGATTTGGTCGGGTCGAATAGTTTTTCCCCGAATGTCGGCAAGGAATTGGGAGGCCGAATTGACGGACGTCACAGAGCCCTCTCGGAGAAAATTGAGCAAGGAAGAACGCAAGGAAGAACGATATAAATTTTCACAAGTTGCTGCACTCAAGCAATCTCTGATGATGAACTCCAGTTCGAGTTCGAAAGCTCAGACAAATAAATATACTGTCCCAGTGATCGCCCCTTCGTCTTCTTTTAAACAAGAACCTGGGATGCGCATATTCTCTTCTATTCGTGATAATTCAGTTATTTTGGGATGTCGGCTTTTGAACGAACTTCTATTTGGCTGCATGAAAAAATTGCGCTCGATAGAAAATGACTGCTTCTGTGGTACGAATTATACCCTTCCCTCAAATTCTAAAATTGGAAGAAGATGTAACTGCCAAATATGTAAAAGACACATTGAGTAAAAGAGCAAAAAGCATATATTTCTGCTTTCTAGGTAAGATATTTAAAATTTATAAGGGCAATGGAAATCAATATAAAAAATTCGTTATAATGAACAACCATTTTTACAGACTGAAGTATTTTCAGGCAGCCATTCACAGCTCGTTCAAAAGCTGGCACCCAAAGTCACCAACTTATCCTTGTATTATGCTGTACACAGTATACTGAACACTAAAACCTTACCTGAGTAAGTTTGTTTTAGTAGATTACAAATTTAAGAATTTCAGTTAAAATTCCATGAGTAAGCACATCTACTGTACATGATATCCTCACTGTTTTGCCCAACGTTCCGCGTCCACTTTTCTTTACTATATAAACTCCAATCTACACGTGATAAACAGTACGCGTTACATAATTAGAACATCCCAAAGGTTTTACCGCACTTACAAAATTTTTAAGCGCCGTTTTAGTCCAATATCTAAAACTTCAGTTACTATTTGATTCGAAAACACTTGTCTCCTCTTAAGCACTGGAGTGAAAACTTTGACAAAAGCTGAGTCTAGACACCTAGCGAATAAATTTGTTGGCAATGCTGTCAGAACTCGTTCATTTGAAAAGTATTTTGTTTGTGATAACATTTATTTGCGCGCTGAAACCTTAACTTTTTTGTACTCTTTAATGCAACTCCCATAAACATCTTGGTGTACGCAATAGTCGTGTGTCGGACGCATACTCTCATTTCGCGCATTTAATTATTCCTAAAATTATTATCCTGTCGTTTCTCTGGAGCTCGTACTTCAGAACCCCGCACAGTAAACACGACAGGCCCGGTGTTGTCACTGCAGTGTCGGAACCACCCATTTAAATTCGCACCTATCTTCGAAGTATGGCAAATATTTTGTCATGTGAATACCGACCTACTTTTGTTGTTACAGTAGAGACGGTGTTTTGCGTTATATTTGCTGTATACTGGAAAGTGTTTTTAATAATAAAGTTTTCTTTTGGTGGGTTTGATGTGTTAACTACCTTTAGTCGTATAGTGTGTGCTTCATTATGGTAGAGGATAAGATCCAAACTCGCAAAACGACCTTTTGAATTTTACAATATTTTCCATTTATTCTATATGCCTCTTGCAAGTTAAACGTACTTTGAAGAAGCCATGAGTGTAACTATTCCCTCCCGCACCCGTTTGATAGTAGATCATGGTCCTTTTCGCTTTATAATCCTAAGTGCGGAACCTTTAATGTTCGGGAGGTTTTAGTTTTTTGGATAACTTTGCTTTCAAGCTGTTCCTGCACTAACATTTGATTTCAGCCAGCTACAAGCTGCATGCAACACGTTTAGTGGAAAGAACGTACTGATTTATGCTATCAGTAATTTGTCACGCAAATTTTAATAAATTTGCACGGTGTGGAAACAGTGGTTTATAAGTAAAAGGGGACTTGTCGCTAGACATTTTATGGTCTTCCGTACCGTCAACTTGCAGATTATTTTTAAATCAATATGTACACTGTCCCATAATTTATATTTTAAATGAGGATTTAAATTACCCTAAATTACAACACAAAAACATGTTTCCGTGCATGGTTCCTATAAAGTTTATTTGAATTTTCATGGACATCCGGACTCGACATATAGGAAAGTCCTAATGATGAGTTTCTTTTGGTGATGGCCTTTTGACATATGATTAAAAGAAAGAACATTTAAATGCTAGCATCTAGTGACACAATTATGACATCATCGTGAAACACAGCAGCCAATATCAAAATCCTACCTAGATAATACTCTTATAATCGTAGAGACATTTCAGAATAACTGTTGACATTCTTCGATATACCCCACTCGGTGCGCGTCAGTAGTGAATGAGTATAACTCAGTCGTTTTAGGTAGGTGCCTGCCTTTACTTTAACTCTTCCTTGCAATTTACAGACTTCCACGAGAATTCATATGCCGGTAACTTATACTTATCTCCCGCATTAAAATATTGCTAAATGTGTAAATCAAACAGATACATGAAGTGCATATATCGCGCTGACATTCACCCAAAGAAGACGCGTAAGGAAAGAAGAGTGGTTCGCGAACCGAAATATAAAACGCACATATGTCGTGAGAAGTTGGTAGGAAGATAAGAATGCAGCCTCTAAAAGGCAAGTTAAATACATATTTATTTGTGTTTTTCCGCATTCTGTGGTGAGTCTGTTCAACCGGTCGGAACACTGTCAAACTGCCTTACGAGCCACGTATTCCTCCACTCCCGTTCTTCCTCCTCCTCCTCCTCCTACTCCTCCTCCTCCTACTCCTCCTCTTCCTCCCTCTCCGCCTCCTCCTCATCCTCATCCTCCTCCCCATTATCCTCAATCTTCTATCCATTGTTGTAACCTCACCTGTTTTCTACCACCCGCAAAACGGTCCAGTGCAATCGACTGATCGTTGTAAATCTGCGCAACTTTAATTCAGTAGTGGGAGAATAACGCGCAAAATGTGCGACTGCCGACAAAGATGTGCATTGCGCCGCTTCTCACACTGCCAAGCCTCCATCTGACGCAGATACCGGCAAGAGTTAGCGAAACGATGGTCTTTGACGGACGTATAAACACCATGCACAAACTACCTCTCCGTCTGACAGCAAACAGTCAGAGGGAGGAAATCTTTGCTTCCGTAATACCGGCTCCTTTTCCTCGTACACTTAGGTTATCAGGAAAATAGCAAAACGAACTTAAATATCATTCTTTTCTCGGATTCCAAGACTTAATCAAATTTATTTTTGAGAATTGTTTCTATCAATAAGAAATCCTTTGTCACTTAAGGCTACCTGAACGTTATTATCGACAAAGACACGGCATATCAGAATGGCCATTTCTGGCTCATTAGCCGTCGTCAGACAGTCATACCCAACCCCGATATGTGGAATACATGAGGCTCGAACTCGCGACCTTTCAGTTAGAAGTCCGGCACCTCTAAACACTGAGCCATGGGCTCGTTGTCCCGTCGGTTTCGATTGAGAAAATACAATGGTGGAGGGGCGCTCACCGATCGTTCTTATGGAAATCACTCGTCCCTTTGTGCCTTACGGGATCTCTCTCGAACCCATCCAGCAGCCGCACAGCGGCGCATGATATTGGCAGAATGTTTTTACCGACAAAACTTTGGGATTGCGTGTGACTGGCTGGCGGCGTCTAATAAGCCAGAAATGACCATTCCAGTATTACTTGTCGTTGTCAATAATAACATTCTGCCTATATCGTGCGCCGCTGTGCGGTAACTTGTAAGGCTCGAGGGGGAGAGCCCGTAAGGCACAACGGAACGAATGATTTCCATAAAAACTATCGATGAGCGCCTTTTTATTAGTACTATCTGAACGCTGTTTTTTAGTTAGCAAATTTAACTGCCCAACAATTTAGAAATATATCATATGCGTTAACCGGCGCGCTATAATAAAGTTAACAAAAACCACGTCTGTGCAGAAAAATAAAACAACTGATTGATATGTATCCAGAAATGATAAAAATATATTATGTTTTAGGGGAAATGAACACGCAAGGAGGTGATCACCGTAAGCCAAATAGATACTTCCAGGTAGTTTTTTGCAATAAATTTGTAGCAAATATATTAAATGTGCAAAAATAAAGCAGTTTAGTTCGCATCAGGCGTGTTAAGTAAATTATAGGCAAACATACTGAACTCTCTTTATGTTACAAAATTTTTAAATAAATCGATGCTAAAAACGTGATAGTTCGACCGTCGCATTCAGCGATGTCCACCGTGTGCTTCGCCGCAGGTTGAGGCAGACCTGGTGACTTGCGCGTGAATTAGTTTATAGCAATATAAGTCTTGTGCGGCACTTACCACACCCTCTTCTCCTCCGCAACCTAGACGCAGTGTCATGAAAGAGTCAAAAAGACCGGAGACTAGAGATGAGGGAGTACGCAGATGGCACGTACGACCAAACCCGCACCTTGACGTTCTACCACACCCTTGGTCCACAACAAACACTTGACCAGGATTTCGATCAAAAACGACAACAGCAAATGAAAGGATGTGGATTACTGGGCAGACATGCACATGACATGGCAGCTCAGCGGAAACGCTATCGCATCTACCGCCAGAGAACCAGGTTCCGGAGAACTGCTAGCGCACACAAAACAGCGAGGATTATAGTTTGACGATCTTTACACAGCCGACGCTCACAAACCTTGAGGCCGATAAGGATGGCATACAGTCCTGCATTGGATCTGGACTATCACCCTTCAAAGGCTGGATAACCAGTCATTCAGCGACTGAAAGGCACCATCCATTAATAAACGCACACGCCTTACATACATGGGGGTATCAGAGATCACTTAAGAAGGAACCGTGACAGTGTGGCTCTCAGCCCACCAGTCCGCCATTCTCCGCAAACACACCCAACAGGGCAGACTTTGTGGACTGTGTGTCAGTCGGCAGTCTTCCAAGCCACGGCGCTAGCGCACCAAAGTATTCCCAGGCTCGGCTCACACATGCAGCAGAGGAGCTGCATGGAAGCGGAGCCAGGAAGCGCACCTCCCACTTGCGCAGAATGTGGCAGTCGGGTCC